GAAAGGGCTTCTCTGCCCATTGTAGGGACAGAAAAGCTAACTAAAATAGTTTCTTTGCCTTCACAAGAAATGATAAATGACCCAAGTGTCATTTATGTAGATCAGAGCTAATCAGCACTCTTAAAATGAAATGCATGGGCATGTAAATAACTTATTACATGATAAAAGCATAGTTTGGAAGACGAAGTTTTTGCTACATGGGTTTCACATAGGGCTAATGAGAAGACCAGGCCCCACTGTTGCATTGTCACCACGACCATATCTACAGTCCCATTGACTCTTCACAATATCATCGTCACTAGGAAAAAATGTCACTTGCACTAATACACAAACCTCTGATGAGGGATGATGTTAAGGCAACAGTGGTGAGAAGTCCACCTTATTGTTCTAGTGTGCCTTGGGTTCAGTGGCTACTGAAGTCTCGGATGGTTCTGGGGCTTCAAAGATGAGGTAATAAAAATTATCACTTTCCTTTTGTATCAAACTGGGACTGTTGCAATTGGTAGTTCTTGTTTAGCAGATCCCTTGTGCCCTCTCTTCCAAAAGACCCTCGCTGTGACAAAACTGGGGACTCTCATGGTGGAGCTGCAGTCCTGGGGAGCCACTGTCATTGAAACAAGAGGAAGAATGCCACAATTCCTGTGATGTCAGTGACTTCAGCTGTTCCCATCTCTCTGCAGAGATGGGAGAGTGCAGGTAACATGCCACTTCCTTCCTTGTTCACTCACTAATTAGAACCCCGATTCTGTGAAGAACTTCAGCAAACACATTTTGAGTGTTTTGACACAGCTTCTCTGTGTCAGGCTCTGCTGTATATGCAGGGACTAGAGAAATGAAATTCACTATTATCACCCTCAAGAAATGCACAGACTAATGAGAAATGGGGTCTATATGTAACCACTTACAAGACAGAGCCTAAAATCCTGTCTTAGTGGTTGCAATATGGTATTATGGAGATACACAGGAGGGCATAAAATTTTTAGGGAGGGAAGCAGGAGGCAGAGAGCATCACACAAGAGGTGGCATTTAAATTGACCCAACAAAGGGAGAGGATTTTGCAGAAGAGAGGGGTGAGGACTCTTTTTGGCTTTACTCTGAAGATATTTATAAGGCAGGAGAGGTAAACTTGTGAAGCGGGCTCTTGATTAATTTTTCCAAGTTTCTGGCTCCTTTCCCCAAGCCAGCTTGGAGATTTCTGAAACATTCGTGTCAAAAGTGTCACCTGTCTCAGATCACCTTGTTTTCTAATGAGTAGTTCTTGGAAAAGTTTGGTCCACCCACTAACAACATGAAACTCACCTAGGGCCTCGGTAGAAATGTAAATTCTTGGGCCCCAGTCCAGATTAACTGAACCTGAAACTCTTGGGACTTCACATGATACAAATTGAAGGTTGGCAGCGACAATTCTAACATATCCAGAAACTCTGGGGCAAATGTAGTGGTTAAGAACAATGTGGATTACTTTCTGAGTTCCTTTCTGGAGAAACTCCTGCCTCTAAGAACATGGTTGAGACACATTAGGCAGCCTCCATAGTGGATGGGGTCACAATGACCTTTCTAATGATTTCTGTAAGGGTCATATTGTTACAGGGTTACGGGTCTTCTGAGAAACTGAAACAGCCTGAAGTCCCCCTTTCAAACCCTGATTCTTGGAATCAAGTCAGGAAGATTTGAGACAGTGTAGCTCAGAGTTATAGGCACCAACGAGTTTATTAGAAGGAATGGGAAAGAGGAGAGGGGGACACTCTTGAGGGAGAGAATGGGTCCTCTTGGAGAGGAGAGAGTGTGCCCCTGCTCCCCTCCAGTTTCACTGGACATCCCAGGGAAGTTTCCAGAGAGTTCTGCTCAGGTCCTCATCTTGGCTTTTGACTGACACCAGGATGATGTCAGACTTTCAAGTCCCCACTGCTGTGGCAACTCCAGGTCACTCTGACTAATGCTGACTGTTTCTATTTGGAATCTGTTCTCACAGATTTTATGCTTAGGCCTTATCTCCCTGAGTTCTGGGGTCAGGTCTGTGTAAGGGTCACAAAAGTGTCCCCGTTCAGATTAACTTGTCCTCTTCTTATGACTTTTTACACCTGCATTTCTCCTTCAGATAATAGGCAGTTTGCTGAGGAATGTAACATATCCTATTGATGTAAGCCAGTTAGGGCTAGAGGTAGAAAGGAAAGCATTTGGATCAGCACAGAGGGCCCAGTTTATAGATTTATTCCCTTAACCTCATGTTCTCACCACTCATGTCTGTCCCTATCAGTATCAGATGGAGGGCAGAGCTCTGGTCACAGGTCCCTCATCCACACTTAACTTTTCTCTCCTCAAAGCAGATGGACTGGGAGTCTTAGCTAGGCACTCTGGGGGCTGGCTGTGGGGTAATAATTGGCCTTCTTAGTTTTGCAAGTGAACCAGGCAGCCCTCCAGGGTTCAGCTTAAGGGCCCCAAGGCAGGCACACCCAACCCACAGGGAGAGAGGGTGGTCTGTCATCTGACCGAGGCCTGTTTGGTCAGGTGACAGTAGTAGAGCATACTGGCAGGAGACGCGGAAGTACAAAGCTCCAGCGGCCGCGGGAGCGTGCAGACGGGACCTTCGCCGCCTGGGGGACATGTTGTCCTGGGAGCTGGCGCGCACGCGCCTCGCGCTCCCGCTATTGCTGCTGCTGCTTCTGCCACCCCCACCGGGCCCGGCCAGCTGCGCGGCACCCTACGACCCCACCTGGGAGTCGCTGGACGCCCGCCCACTGCCCGCCTGGTTCGACCAGGCCAAGTTCGGCATCTTCATCCACTGGGGCGTGTTTTCCGTGCCCAGCTTCGGTAGCGAATGGTTCTGGTGAGTGCGCTCCCCCCACCCCAGTCTCCTTGCACGCTGCTTTTTGTCTCTCCACCGAGGACCCCGGACGCGCCCCAGCACGCCTGTTTACGGCCTATGGCTGCCCGCTTGTCAGTTTCGCTTGGCCGGTTCCAGCGTTAGGTTCCCGGTGATGATGACTTCCTGACAGCGCCTGGGGCTAGAAGAGCACTGGACAGTCCTTCCTCGTGACTGCAAGTTTCCAGACACCGACCCTGGATCGACCTCCTCACCTCCTGGAGCCTTGCGCTGGTCCAGCTGGAGTTATGACACTATGTATGCCGTGGAGCGACCCGAAAAACCAGTTTGTGTCGGGTAGACCAGTGCCTCGGACTCATGTCCCACTGTTGTTAGGCGGCTACCTGCCCACTTTCAGTCGTTTTGCCTTGAAGTATGGTCCAAGTGTATGTGGAAAGGCTTTCATTTGTTTTTGTTTTTGTTTTGAAACCGGGTCTCACTAAGTTGCCCTTGCTGGCCTGGAACTCCGGGGGACTCCTGCCTTAGCTTCCAGTGTGGCTGGGATTTCAGGCGTGTGCCACCCTGCCTAGCTAGAGCCTTCTTTAAAAGAGTGACACACGATAGCATTTTAACATAGCACACCAATGTGTGATGGATGGTGTGTATCCACCAGAGATGCTGAGGCAGGAGGATGGGAGTTGGAGTCTAGCCTGGCAACTTAGTGCGACCCTGTCTCAAAAAACAAAAACATTTAAACCATTAATAGACTGTCATATGAAAAGTGCTACACAAAAATGTTTGTTAGATTTTATCTTGAGATTTATATGAAATGTGCATGCGATTTTATAAATGGTTACACACACCTTTTCTGATTAAGCGCTTCTAATATTCAGCTCTTCAAATGAGTGTGTACATATTTATATTTGTGTTCAGCTTTCTGATTGTCACAATTTCATTTGTAGTTCACTTCTTTTTTTTTTTTTTCCCCTACTGGTACTCTTACCTCCCAGCTACATCCATGGCCCTTTTTATTTTTAAATTTGAGACAGGGTCTCCTTTTGCTTTGACTGGTCTTGAACTTTTGATCTTCCTGTTGAGTTAGGAGGATCCCCAGTTGCTGTTATTATAGGTTTACACTACTGTGCCAAACTTGTAGTTCAATTTAAAAAATAAGAATGTTGGCTGGGGAGATAGCTCAGAGGCAGAGCATTAGCAGCATGCTGGAGACCCTGAGCTCAATCCCCAGCAGCATAAATAAATAAATAAATAAATAAATAAATAAATAAATAAATAGTAAAAATGCACCATAGATCACTTGTGGTATTTTCATTTCGAGGCATCAAAAACCCAGGTAAAAGTTGTAATAATAAGATTTTATTGTCTCACAGAACAAGAAGTTTAGAAGTAGTTGGCTCACAGATGAATCAAAGATGCAGCCTTTGTTTGAGGGCTTGGTCCTTCATAGTTTTATGATAGTGTCCAGGCATCCCAAGCCTCACATAGCCTGCAATCTTGCCCAAAGGCAGGAAGGAAGGCCTTGTTTGTCTTTTTTGCTCGGAAAGAAACCATTCCCAGAAACCCCCAAGCCACCTTTCCCACAAGGTCCACTGGCCAGCATAGTTCTCACTTCTGTGACCTACCTACCATGGAAGATGGGAAAATATGTATGTGACTTTGGACCAGGCACAGGGCAGTACTCAGTATGTATTATGTTTACCAGCGAAGTCTTCACAGCCAGAAGAGCCTCCTTGTCATCTTTGGGGATGCAGTGCTGACTGTGGATTTGTTTATCCAGTGGAAGTATTCTTATAAAAGGAGAGGCGACGGACAGGCAGAAGATGAGTCCGAGATATAGCTTGCATCTGTTTTGTAAGGATAGTTACTGTGGGGTTGATTACATGTGTTTTAGATGTACATTTCCTTATGCAGCCTTGTGGAAGCAGTTTAGGCTCAGTTCACTCTTGGTCAGAATGAATACATGTGACAAGTCATTCTTGAAGGCTGAGTTAACTTGTTAAAAATAGCATCTTCTTATTTACTGTTGCTTCTTTTTCATCTTACACCCAAAATGTGTTTTCTGCTATTGAATACAGTAGGGGTTTGTCTCTTTTGAAGCCCTAGTTTCTTGTGTTACAAAGCACTTAAAGGTCATTCTAGGTATTGTGATTTAAAAGTGAAGAACTAAGAGAATATCTAGCCAGGTTGTCCAGAATGCTTTAATTTCAGAGCTGAGAGGATTTCACAGTGGAAATAGAGGAAAAATGAGAGGGGAGTTTGGTTTACATCAGCTTTTCTTAATACAAAGTCAACGGGGAAGTTGATGGGGAAGCCAAGAGGATCTGGATAATTTTTGAGGAACTGGGAGATACTAGAGAGATCCAGGGCAATCATTTCAAATGGTTATGTTTGTGTTGTTTATGTGCTACTGCTCTTCTTCCCATAGGTGGTACTGGCAAAAGGAAAAGAGACCAAAGTTTGTGAAATTTATGAAAGATAATTACCCTCCTGATTTTAAATATGAAGATTTTGCACCACTATTTACAGCAAAATTCTTTAATGCAAATCAGTGGGCAGATATTCTTCAGGCCTCTGGTGCCAAATACGTTGTCTTGACTTCCAAACATCATGAAGGTAATGTGCACACAGATGCTGACAATGCTCAGGAATTGACAAGTTATTCCTTTGCTAAAGCAAGGTCATCCCTATGAGATCAGTTCTCCAAAGTGGAGACTGACATTTAAGACTACATGTTTTACCTAAATTGAGAGACAGTAGGGATACAGACAGATCACATATTTCACAGAACAAGATGGCCACAATTTATTCTATGCACAGTTGTTTCCAAGCATTACTTAAAGCCAACTGAAGTGGGATGAGAGTTAGAGTTTCCAAGAGGAATTGCATACTTACCTTTCTTCCCTCTGAATACTTTCTGTGAAGACACCATGAAGTCTATGTTGCAGTCTTGCAACATTACTGATAAACTTGACTGCAGTTTTGACTAACTCTTAGGTGGCCACATGGTACAAATGGTGGATGAGTTACTAGTGATCAACACAGATTACCTGGAGGGAAAAGGATTATGGAACTGCAATGGTGCCTAGAAATATCATAGTTGGTTGAGGAATATCTAAAAGAAAACACAGTGGTCCTACACTAAGACTGCACTCCACCCATTACCACTTAGTATCATAAGACCAAGGACACATCAATAAGTTTATTGTCCCAACCTCATAATTCATTAGGTAGTTTCATTTCCATGACCATCTTTGCCTTGATATAAGAAAATTTACCTCATTGTTTTTTCTAGGAGTACAAAGGAAATAGGAAGGGAGGAACAAAAATTTGGAATTAACTTAGAGTATTTTCCCCTTTGGCCACAGTCTGAAGCTTCATGATTCCTCCTTATAGATATTTCTGCTGAGATGGATTTTTAAGTGTGTTTTCTTGAGATCATGTTGATTTCCTGAAATCTAGGAACTTCCCCAACCTATATGGCACAAAGTATTACTTAGTGAGTGTATTAAAACACCACCACCAACAACAACACAATGATCTTAATCAAGCTGTGAGGAGAGATGACACAGCCCACATTTATACATTCTCAATTTTTATTGCTCATGGACAATGTGCTACTGGTTCCCGTTAGGAGGGACCAACACTGTGTGAGCATATGGTGGAGATACTGAGTCAAAGATCCAAGTGGTCACTGCACTGCCTGACGTTAGGATATGTCAAGTTGAAAATATTTGAGTTAAGACCTCAAATGTTAACACTGCTTTAAAGCGTACCCCAAATGTCTTTGGAATAAGTACAAACTATTTTAAAAACTTCTTGAAATAAATCTGAAGAGAGACTCAATCTTAGACTTGACTGGAACAATAACATGATACCTATGATTCTTCGAGTCTTTCATGTTGTTTCTTAAGCATTTCAGTTTATATCTCTCTTTGAACATGTTTATATAGAACAACTAGCAATCAAAATGCACATTCCCATTAAAATATTAATTATTTCAAAATACTTGGGTAATGGTATACTACTATTTTCTCAACTATTTAATTGGTAAATTATTCACTTTTGGGGCTGGGGTTGTGGTCAGCGGTACACTGCTTGCCTACCATGCGCGAGGTGCTGAGTTTGATCCTCAGCACCACATAAAAATAAATAAATAAAAATATTGTGTCCAACTTACAACTAAAAACATTATTTACTTTTGTGTTTAGAGTAGGGTGAGGTTCCAAATGGTGGGTAGCATGAAACTACTGGGAAGTAGTGTCTTTTCTGCCTCTTGGTTAAATGAATTGTCAAGATCAAGGAGATTGTTTACATATGGATCCCTAGTGTTCTAGAATCACACTATGATAAAACAGACAATCCTACAACCAAGCAATATACCTTCACGTTTGGATAAGAAGTCACATAAGAAACTTGTAGGAATGCATCATCTCAGAAGCTCCATTGTAAACAGTGGTGGTCATTGTTGTAGCTCATGGGTATGGAAGGTGTCCCCATCTTAGAAGTGACCTGATGTTGGTGGTTTATTTTGCTTTGATCTTGAGCTGACAGTTGGCTGAGCATAGTGGGGAGCACTGCAGACATGATGCTGCCCTTCAAGGATCTCAAAGTCCTAAGGAGAAAAAAAGAGATCACACTATACAGACCTTACAGTATACCCTGAGTGATGTTTTTAAAGATTGAGTTTCCACTTTGTTTAAATTCTCATTTGTTTCTCTTATAAGAACAGAATATGAAAAAGAAATGCTAAACTATGAAAAAAATGCTAAACAATTGTCACTTGTTTAAGTAGTTATTTATATATTGCATCTGAGTTGTTTTGGCATTTTTATGAGTGGAAGTTTACTGAAGTGAAATTGACAATGCTTACAAAGGGTTTTAATGTCACCTTTCAGGCTTTACTTTGTGGGGTTCAGAGTATTCCTGGAACTGGAATGCCATGGATGAGGGACCGAAGAGGGACATTGTCAAGGAACTGGAAGTGGCCATCAGGAACAAAACTGACTTGCATTTTGGACTGTACTATTCCCTTTTTGAATGGTTTCATCCACTCTTCCTTGAAGATGAATCCAGTTCCTTCCATAAGCAAAAATTTCCAATTTCTAAGATGTTGCCTGAGCTCTATGAGTTGGTGAAAAAGTACCAGCCTGAGGTTCTGTGGTCAGATGGAGATGGAGGGGCACCAGATAACTACTGGAACAGCACAAACTTCTTAGCCTGGCTGTACAATGAAAGGTATGTGTGCTACTAGGTGCCTGTAATTTCCCAGGAGCTCCTAATTTGCATATAGCATTTAAATTTACATACTTCTTGAAATATTTCCTTTTAGGCTCACTTGTGGTATGGAAAGTGTTACAGGGTTGGGGTCTGCCAAGAAACTGAGGCAGCACAGAGACCCCTCCTCCAAATCCCCATTCTTGTGATCAAGTTAGAAAGAAAGATTTCAGACATGTCGCTCAGAGTTACAGGCACAAGTTTTTTTAGAAAGAATAGGAAAGGGGGACACTCTTAAGGGAGAAAAATGGGTCCTTTCAGAGAATAGAGCGACAGTGTGCCTCTCCTGCTGTCTAGTTCTATTGGGGGTTCCAAGGGAAGTTTCCAGAGTGCCCCCCAGATCCACCTTCTTGACTTTTGACTGATAGCAGGATGATATTAGACTTTCACATCCCCACTGTCATGACAACTCAAGGTCACTTTGGACAATGCTGACTAATTCTATTTGGAACCTGTTCTTGAAGATTTTATGCTTAGGAGGAATGATCCTTACCTCCTTGAGTTCTGGGGTTAGGACTGTGTTAGGGTCACAAAAGTGCCTCCACTTCACAGGAACTTGTATTCTTCTTATGACATTTTGTGCCTGCATTTCTCCTTCAGATAACAGGTAATTTGCTGAGACATCCTGTCTACTTAAGCCAGTCAGGGCTGCAGGTAAATTGTTTTTTGTTTTAAAAAAGGGAAAGCATTTGGGGGTTGGTAAGAAGGACCCATTTACAGAATTATTCCCTTAACCTCATGTTTTCACTATTCAAGTCTGTCTGTCCCTTATCAGGGAAGGAAATCATTATAAATAACACTTATTAGCTGTATCCATATTCACTTGAAATTATCAGAAGTAAACAAATCAGGAATTAAATACAACTTTGTTTTCTGATTTTGAAGTCAGACTAAAAATCAAAGAATCAAAAACTTTAGAAGTATTATTTTTGTGAGTCCCTCTTTTAATCAATTCCTCTGGTCTGTTAAGGACCTTGTACTGCATTTTGATTACATTTTCACTTCCTCTGATTGCTTCTTTTTATCATCCTACCTTCTGATAATCTTTGCCGCTCTGTCAGAGTCAACCTTGTCTGTCTTCTCTTTCCAGTCATCCTCAGTATTCTCACCTCTTCCCCTTCTTTCCTGTTACTTTCTTGAGCATTCAAGACTGTCCTGTGTGAATTGGGAGCTCTTACTGAATTCCTTCATTAGGCTAGAACCATGGGAACCACATTTACATTTGTAAGCACTTGATACTGTGCGGTAAAGTCAGGAAACCTGCTTTTGCTTCCTTGGTCTACAAAGCACATAAGTACATGTTCTGGAAAACTCTTGATACCAAAAGTGGTAGTGCTTCCAGGTGCTCCTTCTGAGAAAAAAGACTGGAAGCCATCTCCTTTGGTTTGTGAATCAAAACTGCCTCTTTAGAGGTGCTAAATATCTTGTAGAGGAGGAAGATGTTCATCTTTAGCAAAGGAATTTCTGTCATTTACAACAAATATTTTGAAAACAATGGAAAAACATTTTTCTGAATAAATTCATGTCTCAGTTACATTCACATCAGGATTATGTTCTCAGAGCAAAATGGATCTGGGACACACCCAAATTGTCATGTCTGCGATATGTTGAAGATTGGAACATTTGTTCTTGATACAGCACAAGCTTTTTACATTAGCTTGGGAGAGGGGGCAATGACCTTAATTTATCCTCAAGAAGTTGTATCTGACTTGATCTGAAAAAAAAATTGACACAAAGCCCTGTTATGAGCTGTATTAAAATGCATTTAAATGAAACAGTAGAAAGTAAAGAGGTTGTTAATGATTAAATGTATTCCTTGTGACAAAAGAAAAAAAAATTGCCTCCTTTAAGTGGAATGAGTTCCTTCTATGTGAACTATCAGTCATGATAAGAAATGTTGTGAAGTTATTTCACATGATTTAAACAGTTTATTTTTCTGAGATTCTAAAATACTAAGCACAATTAGAGAAGAAAGGTTAGAATATACATTTGAGATTATTGGAGAAAAATATCTTGAGTATAAATCTAGTTTGGGGTGCCATTCACAGTATGGGAGGCAGAGCTTCAAATAATAGTACAATGCTCTTGTAAGTGCTGTGTGTGCTAGGCACTGGGCTGTTTACATCAATTATTTTTGTTCTAATGATAATGAGGCAATTGGTTATTCAGAGGAGTTAGATAACCTGCTCTAGATCTTGGAGCTAGAAGGTTGACAGAGCCAGAATTCCAATCAACCTGGGTCTATTTGACTTTAGCACTTTGGGGTCCCACTCTGTCATTCTGTGGTCATTTTTCAGGAGTGGATTTTGGCTAGACCTCTTTTCAGTGACATTTCCTTTTGCATATAAGACACATTTTCTTTGAAAAAAATTATACTTCTCATTTCAGCCCAGTTCGGGACACAGTAGTCACCAACGATCGCTGGGGAGCTGGCTGCATCTGTAAGCACGGTGGCTACTATACCTGTAGTGATCGATATAACCCAGGACACCTTTTGCCACATAAGTGGGAAAACTGTATGACAATAGACAAGTTTTCCTGGGGCTATAGGAGGAATGCTGACATTGGAGACTATTTTACAATTGAAGAGTTGGTAAAGGTACGGTAAAATGTGTGATGGCCATTATTGTCATGTTCTTTTTTTTTTGAATATTTTCTTTTTAGTTTTAGGCAGACACAATATCTTTATTTTATATTTATGTGGTGCTGAGGATCAAACCCAGTGCCTCAAGTATGCTAGGCAAGCACTCCACCATTGAGCTACAGCATTAGCCCATGTTCTTAATAGTGAGGTTGGGTGGCAACAATTTCTTACAAGTGGGGTAACTTGATGACCTGCAAACACAGGGCATTACTCTATGTCTAGGTTTGTTCTTCTGGATAGTGACTGTATGTCCACAGAAAATTATGATGTATTAACACATGGAAGATGGATTTTTTTAAACCTAAGAACTGTATTTATTCTTAATTCTCTAGCAACTTGTGCAAACAGTTGCATGTGGAGGAAATCTTTTGATGAATATTGGACCCACACTAGATGGCACCATTTCTGCAATTTTTGAGGAGCGATTAAGGCAAATGGGGACCTGGCTAAAAGTCAATGGGGAAGCCATTTATGAAACCCACCCGTGGCGATCCCAGAATGACAGTGTCACCCCAGATGTGTGGTAAGTTTTTCTGGTTACCAAGTTCCATTTGATAGAGGAAGGCATTTAAATTTCTCAAAGATAAAAATAAGAGCAGAATAATAAGGGACATCAGATCATATTACCCATCCAAAGCACTTTCCAACTTTACTCAAATACAAAGAGAAGAAGAATTAGCATATTTTTGAATACTTAATGTTTCTCAAATTCTAGATATCTCCTAGGAAAGGACAAATTTTAGCCCAAAGTTGTCAGCTTTTACAAGAGCCATTTAAATAAGTTGTAAGCCATTTAAATAAGTTGAAAATGCTGAGTGGATAAATTCTAATTTTTGCAGATGTTATATCCTATCATATTAGCAAGCAAGAAATATCCAAGAAAGGAGAAAAAAAATCCAAATTACAGAGGATTTGGGGAAGATGTCCAAGTAGGAAGCACCAGGTATCTGTCTCCCTACTGAGACAACAGTTGTAATGGTGTAATTTGTCTCATGGCCAACAAGCACAAGATGAGATACTTAATATCATAATAATTAGGGAAATGCAAGTAAAATCCATAATGAGATACTACCTCACATCCACTAAGATGGCTAATATCAAAAAAGGGGAAGCAAGTGTTGATGAGGATGTGGAGAGACTAGAACCCCTGAGCACTGTTAGAGGGAATGTAAAATGTTACAGCTACTGTAGAAAACAGCATGGCAGTTCCTCAAAAAATAAATCATAGAATTAACCTATGACCCTTGAGTTTTACGTCTGGGATTCATATGTGCCAGGCAAGTGCTTTACCACTCACTGACTTATTGCACATCCATGTTCATAGCAGAATTATATTCACAATAGCCATCCAAGAGTCCATTGACAGATTAATGGATAGGCAAAAGGTGTCATGTACATATACTGTGGTATGCACATATTATTCAGCCTTGAAAAGGAAGGAAATTCCAACATATGCTACACATAGATGAACATTCATATTATGTAAAGTGAAATAAGCCAAAAGACAAATACTATATGATTCCATTTTGCAAGATATCTGCAGTAGTTAAACTCAGAGACAGAAATTAGAATGGTAGTTGGTGGGAGGTGGGGCAGAGGAGGTGGGAAGTGATTAATGGGTACAGAGCTGAGTTCTATAAGATGAAGAGAGTTTTAGAGATGAATGGTGGTGTTAGTTGCATAACATTATGGAT